ATTAAATATGTTGCTTTTAAAACTCTATTAAGTTTATTGTATTATAAGGATTAGGATTTGGGTAATATTTTTATTACTTCCATAAATGGTTTTAATAAAAATAATAACAATGATAATAGAGTAAAAATAATTAGAATACAATACTTTACCATTATTTTATACAAAGCTAAGATTATTTAATGATAGTTAATACTTTTAGAAATTATATAATACACAACAAGAATAACAATTACTATAATTATAATAGTTAGTGATGGCTACAAAAAGTAATCAATGTCATGATTAACATTATACTACAACCATGGCACTTGCCCCCCCCCCCTGGAATAATGTTATTTCCACAGCAATTGGTAAAATTCTGGTATAATAATGTTTTTAATGTTTTAATTGTAGTAATAATACCTACCTAATTGTAATGATTTAATTCATAATTGTAAAATTACGAAACTTAATAATTTACTATAATTAAAATGTATAAAAAAATTTTCATTTATTTTTAAAATTCATTTTGCCCCCCCCCCTTAGAAAATTGTTTGGAGACGCCCATGACTACAACCCTTGCTCCATCCATAGCCATAAGTTCTTAACATGTTTATCTGATGCACATTGTAGTTTTTAAAGCATGTGCCTTTATAAATTACAAAGTTTTTAGTACCCAACTGAACCCCTTGTAAACTAGGACCATCAATGGTCACCACTCACTAAAATAACACCAGCCACTCTCATGGCTCCGATTATAATAGCAATATAAAATATTAACACATATTTGTTTTGTCTTCCTGTTTGCTGTCTACTTAAATATAATTACTTGTATAAATAAAATAACTTTAATTTTGTACAAAAAAAAAAAAAATGCTATGTGAACTTTGAACATAATTATTTATTTGATTATCTTAGTAATATAATGAAAAGTAAGATTTTTTAGTGTGCAAAATTAAATTCAAACTAAATCACACTCGTAACAGTAATTCAATAATATTGTATTGAACTTGTGCCGTTTTAATTATAAAAAATAATAATATTTACACCATTCAAGTTACTTGTAAACAATTGTTATATTAAATTATATTCCAAACAATATGTATGATTAATCTTTTAGGATGCACAGTTGTTTTATATAATTATATAAAAGATATAATTTCATATTATAATTTATTATTACTTTGTATACCCTAGACATTAAATAATATATATATTACAATACCTATTGTATTAAAACATCAGGTGCTCAATACTTGCAGTGTGTATTTTTATTTTCACATGTGCTGTCCTATAAATTGTATCTTAAAAAAATTATATAATATATATTGTATGAACATGTTGAGTTTAAATAAAAATATAAATTGTAATTTTTGTGAAACTAGTGTAGTCCTACAATGTTGTCTGTATTGCACAGTTTATTATATTATTTGATTGTGTTATTCAAAAATATATATGTATATTGAGAGCACCACTAAGACAGTAAAAAACCATAATTCTCCATTCTGTAAGCTATTTTACATATATATTTTATTGGTACTTAAATTGTCTTTTGAAAWCAAAGCTTGATATTTCATCAGATTTAGTGAGGACGTTAACCATAGATAATAGGTTCCTTAAACTTTACTTACAATGAAATAATCATTGAATAAAATATATAATAAGTGCCTATGTATCTAAAGAGTAAWGTGTAATATCTAGGTATTTTGTATGGAAATTAAAATTTTATAGATACAAATAAATTTTAAGATTTTATCTAAGTATGAGAGGGCTTGATGTAATCCCAATCAAAAATCAATTGGTTGGTGGTTGGTAATTTTCTATTTTGTCGTCTTCCACAATAATGACTATTATTATATAATATTAGATAATTGTTCTGTATTAGATCTATAACTAGTCAAATTTTAGGTTTTTTAATCGTGCTATTATTTCAAATTTTTTAAATGTATCTAAAATATAAAATTTTCTTTCTCAGTTATATAGTATTAGTTGTTGTATAGAGATTTAATTAAGTATGCATTTATATTAAGTAATTAAATACTTTTGTTTAAGTATTTTGAATACTTTTAAGAAGTACTTGTATTTAAATTCAAATTCTATTAAAAGGAAGTATTTGAATACATATTTTAAATACAAATGATACCAAATATTTAGGTATGTTTTCTGAATACATTTGAAAAGTGTTCTTAACAAGACTGTATATTATTATAAAATTAATTTGTAAGGGTTTCAATAAACTACACATCTAATATAATTGTAGGTGATACATAGTTTTTCCATCAATTTATTGTTTTTTTTTTTTTTTACTAACAAGCAAAATTAATAAAATACTAGATTACATTTTGAAAAAGTATATGATGAATTAATCAAACTGAATATATTTATTCTATAAAGCTATGATACACAAAAAATAAATAACTAACATAATTTAATTTATTATAAGATTTTAAATAATATTGTTAAAAAATTATTACAATGAATTGAAACTAATTGTACCATCTTAAATAAGACAAACTTATGGCCAAGAAGGTTTTTCTCCTTTCTTAACCATTCCTCCATATAAAGCACTTCTATCTCTAAAAAGTGACATTCTTTCTGTTTCTTTGTCATCTAAAAATTTGCCAAATAAGGCACCAGCTGTTACTGTGATAGCCAATGCGAAATAGTCCCAGGTTAATCCAAATAATGCATGTCTACCAGCCATTTTGCGATATTTCTGAGAAAAAAAAAAATAGTTGTATAATATTGTACATTATAATAATAAAATAAAATTTTTTCTTGTTTTATGTATTAATGGAGACAGTTTCTAAATTAAATAAATACAATTAAGAACATATCAGCTCATTATTTGTTTTTTCTATCTAACCCACCCGCAATATAGAAAACCTACATTAAGAAGAACCAAACCATAGTTATTACTTTTTATATTGGGGTAAATTTGTCCTTAAGATACCTCAAGATAAGAACAAAGAACATTATCTATATGTCTATGTTTACTATTTTATGATACTTAAATTGTTGAGCAAATTATAAGCAGGGCTTGTTTCATGCACTAAAAAATACCTAAATAAGCATGCATTTATGCACTCAAAATTGGCAAAATAAGTATTTTTAGGTCCCAAATATCAAGTTGTATGCACAAAATTGCTTACTAAAAAAAATCATAAACAATTTTTGAAACAACATGAATTATYCATTAATTTTTTATGGTAATATTTAATTTTTTTATGTCACAAATAAAATAAAAAATTATAAACCAATCGCATTTTTTTTTTTGATAAATGTTGATTTTTTCATAATTTTTCTATAAAAAATGCATATTGACATAATAATATAGATTAGGAATATCAAAATTGTATATAATATGGCCGATAAAATAGAAATATGCCCGATAGACAAAAAACCTCTAAATAAGCAAAAACATGCAAAATAAGACTTCACATATTTAGTTGTGGTACCTTGAAATGGATTTTTATGTCATCTAGAATTAAATACAACTTAACAAGATTGATATGCATATGCATGAACTTACGAGCCCTGGTTATGAGTGTATAAATTAWTAAAAAAAATTTTTATATAAAAAAAAACAAAAATATTTACAATCTGTATTAAATTTATACATTTAATACGGCGATTAGATTACAAAGCTAGACGGCTTGATTGATGGGAGTGTCTATGCAACACTACTTCATAATTCCTGACTTTTTTTTTTTACAATTTTTACAATTATAATGCATATCAATTTACATAAGTTAAAATGTTATAAAAAATCCAATATAGGAAAAATACTAATATAGATGAAATCACGCTAATATTGAAAGTAACAACATAGKGTTGGTTCTGCTAAACATAAATTTGCTATATTGCACGTACAGCAGACTAAAAAAAACAAATGTGTTGTCTGTGTCATACAAACATACAACATGGCAAAAACTATTTTATCCAGAGCAACTGTACTCGATTTTTATTTATAGTGCAATAACTGAAACTGCATACCTAACACATAGGAAAGAATTTTATCGGAGCTAAACTGGCCTAGAGCGTCTTTATTTTGTTGATAACATAAATACAATTAAAATTACCAATTTAAGAACTAATCTTTTTGTTATTTTTTATTTAATTATTAAAATGAATAGTTACCGCTATCAGAAAATTAAAAGCACTGTAGCACAAATAAAGTCTTCTCTATGTGTTGTTGAATTTTAGTAATTCTTCTATAAATACAGAGGGAGTTAAGCTATCTTGCGAAAAACATTTTTTGTTATGTTWACGTTTGTAAGACAAAGACAATACATATGGGTATGGCATTCTCTTAAGCATAAATAAATAGTTGGTTAATTATTCAGCATTTAATTATAAAAATATATTTGATATAAGCATGTAGAATTAAATGTCTAAGTGTCCTAAAAGTTACCCAGCTAGTCTATAAAAATTGCGATAAGTGCGATTGTAACGAGTYTGGAAAAAATAGAATTGCATATAAAACGGCCTCGCAATAACCCATAATATGAGGTAGTCGCGATAATGCATATGTGACGCGATAACGCACAAGTACCGATATTAATATGTCCAATTTTTATTTGACAATTGATAATTAAATTTGAAGATAATTTTTATTTAACCTGACACTCCTGATGAAAGTTATTGTGAAGTCAGGATTTTGACTCAATATTGAAGTTATAGTATTTGAAATCTGAGACCCGACCAAGGTGGTTTTACATAGAAATTTGAGTGTATTTTTGATTTTAGTTGTCCAAGGAAAGGTCATGCCAAGTGTATTAAATGAAGATACTATAAATTGCAATCAGCTATAACTTTAAAACTAAGTACAACCGCAAGTCTGACCTCACCATTGTTTCCACTTTGCTTAACTACTTGTTTAAACCAACAAAAAAAAAAAATTGGAAAAAGAACAGAGTCCAAAAACAGAAAAGTTCCTATTTGAATGTCATAAATTGTCTTTACATTAGTTACAGGTATTTTTCACAGCAAAGTAATTTACAATATAAGAAAAAAAAATAGGTAATTATTAATTAATAAATAGCTAATGACCTGAACTGTAATGTCTTACTTTAAACTTTTTGGTTTTGTATTTTTTTCCAATTTAATGTCCGATTGTAATCAGCGTAGATTGCAGAAAACGAAATAATCGGAAATGTTACGGATACAAAATTACGTTTGATGTGGTACCATGCACGACTGAATGCCATTAACCTGAAAAGATTTGGTCGTTTATCGTAAAGAAAATGATTTCTATAAAACTTAAATAATGAATTATTTAAAATATTTGTCTATTTAACTATAGACTTACGACAAAACATAAAATTATTGTACATGTACAATATTTGCACAATATCTTGCAACTTAGTATAGTGTATGTGTTGTAGTAATATGTTCTGTCCGCTRTCGACGGTCGACCTTCGGAACTGTGATTACATTGATTATCGTACGAGCGTACGACATTTTAGTCAGTGTCTCAGTGATAAAAGTGATAATAGAATAGAAAACTTACCAAAACTGATAACACATTATACCACAGAATATCTGTGGTTATATGTGGTTATCGAGATGGATTGATCATTCCACGAATCCACCTTAGTGGTTATACTGGTTATAGGTATTACTATATACAGTCTGAAAACCTAAAATGGAAAGTCTAAATACCGGACCCTCTCGATCGCCATAATTTTTCCCGTTATTTAGAGGTGTCCTCTATTCAGAGAGGGGGGGGAGTTAATTTCTCAAAATTAACTTGGATAAATTAATAATTATATATTTAGAAAATATTTAGAAAATCAGTTACTTATTAGCTTGTTTAGACCTTGATGCATATTAAATTTGTGTAACAAGGAATTTTCTAATTCAACTAGTTGGAGACAATACTACGTTTATATGAATACGTTGGTGCGTAATKGAATCACAAACACATTAACATATTTACACATTACACAACTAAATACGAGTAGGAACTAGGAAGTAGGATACTTCACATAACATAAACTAGAAAAATGTTCTTATCGCCTTGATAATGGACAGATAACATAAACTTAAAACTATAATAGAGATAGATAGATATTTATTAAAACATTCCACGATTATTCAATATTTACGATAAATTATTTACGATTTTTCAAAATCAAAATGAAGTTGCCATATCATCAGTGTCCGTTATTTAGATACTGTTTGATTTTTAGGGGTTTTCCTGTGTAAAATAGTGAAAATTTCCCCGTTTATGAAAAAATTTCCGCTATTTGGAGGTGACAGTTAAGGGAGGTTTCACTGTATATAATGCTATTTTTAATGATTTTAATCATAGACTGTGGGATTTCAGCGAATTATTTGTATTCCCTAATTGGCCCAAGCTCAACAGTCAACATAGACAAAACGCATTTCCTCGGAAT